GTAGCAAACTCGATAATTGGGGGGGCACATATTCATATATTCGTGTTCACTGACCTTAAAAACAATTGATTTCAAAAGAAATTAATAAGGCAGAACACGAATATATGAATATGTGCCCCCCCAATTATCGAGTTTGCTACGCCACTGTTGCTATGGTACAGTAATGTTATGCGTTAATGTTATCTTTGCAAAAAAGCCAATGATTTTAGCATCTTCATTGCCCATTGTTATATATTTCCTAATTATATTCGTTTGTCTACTATCGGTATTTATTAGTTTAGCGGCTTATTTATTTACCTATCTAAACATTTCTAATTATTAAGAAATAAGAGGTTTGTGCGTTCAATTGCGTTCCATCACATGCTCTCATGCATGGCCGGAAATTTGGGACGTCAATCTTTCCAAGTAATCGTACTAATAGCCGTATTTAGAAATTTAATACGGCAGAATCATTGAGCTTTCAATATAAGAAATTTGTAACCTGTAGTGCACGTCAGAAAATACCATCAACATATTTTCATCTTCCAAGGCTATAACATCAGAAAATATCTCAGTTAGTATATATTTAACGCTCAAACTTTAATATGCGAAATAACTCATATATGGAATCACACATCATAGCATTATATAGCAGTATATCTGCCTTAATAAATGTTGTTATAAAACCCTGATATTTATTCCAGTATAGTACATTTGTAAGAGTTTATCAACTTCTTCTCCAGGTCCTAATTTGTTGCACAAGGGTACGTAGATCTCACGATGTTTATTTGAAGCCATTTAGGTCTTTCTCCGTTCTGCAAAATGAGTTATAAAATCTGCTTATTTTTAGGGTTTATTTTATTAAAAAACGACTTATCTCATAACGTATTCACAAATTATGCATGTGGAAAATGTTTGTAAACAATTTTAAAAACGATTTCACTCATTATTTGGTTTATTGATTGTTCGAATTTTAATTGCTCACTGCATGACTACCAATGTCATGTGGCGTTCATCCATTCCTGACCGTCACGGCCATTTCGATAATTACATTGCGAACATCGTTGCCGGCGAGCCAGCCGAAGAACTGCAAGGTAAACGTATTGGCAAGATTAAATCCAATGTTTATAAAGACAAGGTCGGCCCAGGACAACATGTATTTATGACGTGCTTATCCAAATGGTAAATTTGTATTTCTTTGTAGTTTGGTCTAAGGGTTGTAATGGATTCGTGGTCTGAAGCACTGCTTTCACCTGAACAAGACTGGACGCCTGAGGAAATAGTGGCCAAGCTGGAAAAATATATGGACTTTTTGTTCTCACTTAAAACTTATTTATTCGATGAGTCGTGAGTATCCTCGGAGCCAAGATGCGTCCCAAGCTCCAAAAAATTCCCATGAGACTTCATTGGCCGGGAACGACATTGTGACGCAAGATCACATAAATCGCCAAAAGATAATAAAAATAATCATTACTATAATCATGCAGTGTTGCATTGTTCAGACAATATACCCGAACGAGGATTTTTTATTTATAATATACTAAACCTAACATTCAATATATGTTCTAATTAACAATTAGACAACAAAGCCGAGTTGTCTATGAAGAGGTGGGGGGCAACGGGGGGTCTCGTCACGAAATCACGAAGATTATTTTTCGATTTCACGCAAAAAAAAACAACTTCATTTTCACAAAAAAAAAACCAAAAAAACTTCATTTTCACGATTTTTAGAAACACAGAAGCGTAACAATGTCTGAAACCATTTAACGCGGATTTTCTAGACAGCATAACTAGATGTTAACAGAAACTTATTTTACTGACTTTAACATTAGAGAGAGCCGACTATGAAAATCATTGCGAGGCATTACGAAACATTACGAGACACGAAGCAACCTCAAGAAACGAAGAAACTTCGGGAAAGACAACCGCGGGAAGCAAATTTATTTATTTTCCCCCATAATATTAAATTTGGGCCGAGTTTTAAACGTAAACATTCACAAGTTAGGGTAAAATATTGGTAAATTCAAGAACCTAGCTAGCCTTTTAGCTCTTCACCATTCACGGCCCGCATATTAATCACGATTCATGCACGGAATGGTATTTCTTTAAATCACGAATCACGAAACACGAATAATTGCTAATCACAAGTCACGAAAATACCCTTCCCCCCCCCCCCCCCCCCCCCCCCCCCC